TATCAAAAAAGAATCAGTCTTAATGGTAATGCCGAAGTTTTGACCAGTGGAAATAGATCATTTTCACGTGCCGTTATCAAAATTATAAATTAGAAACTGTCAATGGCACAAGGCTGTTCTTTAGCATATGGTCGGCATCACTGTCACTAGTTGTTCCAAACATTTCGAGAGGTGGTGGATTGAACCTTCCCCCTCCCTCCAATTGTAATAAGATTTCTCAATAAAAATGAAGGGTTTGCTTAGCCTGGATATCACAGTAATACAATTGTTACAGATGTGTATGTCAGTTCCAGAAGAGATAAATGTGCGACTAAAAAAACGAAAGACCAATGCACAGCTTTTGAGGGGTTTAGGATTTGTAGTTTGGTAAGCTTAGAAAACAAAGACCTCCTTTAATATTTCAGATTTTCCTATATATAATTATCGTCAGCATCAGTATCATTACCTTATCATAACACTCGCGAGACTCAACATTTCTTCTGTTTTCAGGTGTTTACAGGAAATAGTGATAGCGACAGCGTGGTGACCCATGTCCTGCAGCAACCAATTATTGCTCGATACGTGCTACTAAAGCCAAAAGTATGGAACGACAATATTGCTATGAGAGCGGAACTTTATGGCTGCGTTCTTTCGGGTATGGATCCGGATTTGTACCTTAATATCTGAACCAGTTGGTTTCATGCATTGCATACTTAATTGTGTTTCGATGTAAAAGTTATGTTCTCTCGTACCACTTAAAGTTGTTGCGTGATCCCTTAATTAAAGATATCGTTGATATGAGTTAGAGAAAATCTTATCAAAAACACTTCATATTGGTCGTTTTTCCTAACAAATGAAAGGATAAATAGACTAACGAAAAGATGGCTGTTGTGTCACTCTTAGTTAGTCCTCTTTACAGTATTTCAAGGGTTATACAAAATGATTGCTTACAAAAAATTGCAAATGTCGATTTCAGTAATATGCTAGCTTCATTAAAAAGAAAGTAATCCACTGTTTATTGTTGCAGTGAAACTAACGGACACTTTAATTTTCTTTAATTAATATTCCATGACTCTGATCCTACAGATCGTTATCAAGCAGTAGGCCGAGGAGTGCACATGGATTATGTACAAGAGCATCTTAAAACAGAGAAGAAAATCAACTTCGGAGATTCTCAGGAGCTGTCTAACGGTGTCGAAATTGAAATCCTGGCAGATACTGTATACGTTAAGGTACGCCATAAAAACAAACAAACATACGAAGAACAACAAGAAGAAACAACACAACAGCAACGAGGAAGAAAAGTAGAAACAAAACAGAACAAAGCAAAAAACAAACAAAGAGAGAAATAAATTACTCGGGCTTGCGGGCGAATAATTTAACACCATGTTTTAATTGTTATAATTAACCTATTGCGGTAGACTAATTCTGTGTTGTTGGGTGTCTTGTTACAAAGATTATCAGCTGATCATATAACGAGCAAAAATCTCGCATTGCTTCTGGTCACGGTCATAACCGAACGTTACTTCCCTTCCTTCCCTGGTTCAAATCCTTTCTCCATCTTATGTGCATTGCCATCCCTATTCGTAGATAGCTATCGTTGTGATACCGACTTTACAGTTCATTCAGTCGTTCGCTGGGAATTCTTGTCAGAATTTTGGCCCTGCCACTTGCAACACCCAGGNGGGGGGGGGGGGGTGCTCCCTTATATGGCCTATTTAGGTATGTGCGGCCCAAAGGGTATGGTTTTTCAGCAGTTTTGTTCATAAATAGGATATCGATTTTAGCTGATTTTGGCCATTTTGGTCATAAATAGGTATGGTTTTTGCACTCTAGCCTTGATATGGGTATGTTTTTAAAAAGAAGCCACTTTTTCGTCATAATCGAAAAGAAAATCGACAAGAGCCCTTCACAAATTATGCTTACGGTAATTTAACATTGGTCTGAACTAGGGAACTTATTATAACGAAGGTCTGAAACAGGGTTTTGATTTAAGGGTTAGGTCATATATAAATAGAGTTTCGAATTTTTGGTCAGGTCCTAAATAGGGTAGGGAATATCGCAGATTTTGGTCATAAATAGGACAAGGGTTTTGGGAGGCGGGCCACACACTCCCACCCGATTTTGCTGGGAGTACCCCCCCCCCTTAGGTTGCAACATCTCTTCGTAAATGCACGCATGTTTTTACTGGTATTTGCATATATTATAGGCAATGCCTGTCTATAATGTGTAGCTAGCTTTGAGATCGAAAATGCACCTCTCAAACTCACCAGTGACAATGCATGAGTTCTTGCTTAGTTACTGATTAGTGAACACGGGCAATTTATCACAAACTAATTATTGCGTTACTAACGTTACAAAACTGATAAACCTTTAGGGTAACATCAGAATGGGTGGCATTAAAAAATTGGCGATGTACAGCCGTGAAGTGTTCTTTTTGGATAAAAGTAAATTGGACCTTCGAGCTCCCGATTTAGCACAAAAATTCCAGAAATTACCTCCAAGTTCCGATGGAGTTGATGGGATGCACGGGGTGCCAGGACCATTAGGTAAGTAAAGGGCGTACCAGTACCATAAATAACAACCACTTGTGCGTTCTAATAGGAGAATCTTTGTTTACAATATTTGCCTACAACATTTTTTCTAGTAAATCGTGTCTAGCATGATGCCTTCTATGCGCAAAGTCCTATGTTAATAAGGAAAAGTGTAAACAATGACGTCAGCAAAGATTCGCCTCTAAACCAAAACAGCGCCGGATTACCAAACACAAAATCACTATCCCAATCAATACTGTAGATTAATGTGCCCGTGAAAGAAGTTGTAAGTTGTACTGTCAGCTAGTAAAATTTCTAATGCACTCGTTAAAATTAACATAGGGTCATGGTTTTGTCTGCGTCACACCGTCCGCAGTTTTGCACAATACAGTACATTATTATTATTATTATTATTATTATTATTATCATTATTATTATTATTGTTACAGTCGAACCTCCGGTTGCGACCACCTCTCGCAAGGGGCGTCGTGTCCTCAGCGACCAGTTTTCCAAAATACCAAAAGTTTCCCAGTCAAATCATTACATTGGGAACCTCTTGTAAGCGACCACCTGTCGTAAGCGACCGCGACCACTTTTAGAGCTAAAATTTTGAAATTTTCTGTTGCTTTTAACATCCCTTAAGCGACCACTTGACAGATAATAGAGGGGAAATTGGATAATAAGGTGTTGTAGCATTATCGTATTCCTGGGTAGCACAGGAGATGGAAATTTTTCAATGAAACTACTGGATTTTTTTCTCGAAATTGACTTTCCGCATGAATAAAACACTGCATATGCATTGGCGCATGAGGTCAGTCTGGGCAGTTATCATATTCTAATGAACCAAAATTTTGATTCAATATGGTTTAAACTCTCATGAGTGACCACCTCTCATAATCGACCACCTAGGCTTGACATTTTGGGTGGTCGCTTACAGGAGGCTCTACTTTATTATTATTGCTGTTGACCTGCTATTGGGATTGTCATCATAGCTGTTGTTTTAAGTTGAGTTGTTGTTGCTGTTGTGAAAATGTGCGCCTTCCTTCTTTGTTCCTCCAAGTGGAAATATTTGCTGACACGGTAGCTGGACAAGTAAGCATTGTAACAAGTGGTGGAAATGGGAAGCAGGGGCAAGATGGTTCCGATGGTAGAAAAGGGGCCGACAGCTCAGCAAAGGTATAGTAGCCTGCGTAGCTTGCGGTTTTTAAGCAATTTGAGCGCCCTACGAAAGAGGTGAAGCCGCGATAACAAGCGCCAAAGCCGCGAGGAGCTTAAGAGAGAGACAACCTGAGAAACCGCCCGCACGGATGCTAATTTTGTACGCTGGCGCACGGGCCATTGCCATTGGATCAGAAGGCTAACCCATCAATCAAAGTTTTCGCTTATCTCCCAAGGGACAGCTCAAAGGAACAACACTGATTACAACGCAGATCTTTGGCGTGTAAAGAGAAAATAATTGACGAAGCGTTGTCGAAAGCGTTATCGCGCCTGCATAGTCTTCGCGAATATCGAGAAATTGTTAACTGCCAACACGAGCAAGAAACAATCGTAAACAATTTGCCTCATGGGAGAGACGTAATGGCCGTTTTCCCAACAGGCTTTGGCGAAATCATGATTTTTACCGTGATTCTCTGTTTGCGCACACCAGACAAGAATTGTCCTCTACGAGAACCAGTATCGTGGTTATTTCGCTGTTAAAGAGCATCATCGACAACCAAATTTCAGAAGTATTATCGCTGAACTTCACAGCAATGGAATTGTCGTTTGATGTTTTATGTCTTTTTCTTGTTTGACGACTTCGATCGCGGCTTGCTTCACTTTCTGCAGGCTCGAGTAGATAAAATTATGAAGTTCAAAACGTTTCTTATTTTTCGTGTACAGGCATGGCACACACGATCAGATGATGTGTCTGATCTTTCTATTTCCAGACCAATTTCAGATTTCTGACAAAGTGCCATTTTGAAATCATTCACGCTTAGAGACCTTGAAAAGGTTATGCATGGAAATGTTTAAATTTTCCGAATTTGATCTTGATCTTGTCATCGGGTTGTCAAAATATGTAATAAGGGGCGGAAATATAGCAACGCGGGTAATCCCTCGTGGCTTCGCCCCTTTGTGCGCTGGCGTTCAAACTACTTAAAAACTTGCTTAAACCGCCAAGCTAGCAGGCTAAGGTAGAGATTTGTACTTTTTTAATGTTTCCATTTTTGTTGCTACAAACTACTACTGCTACACAATCCACAAAACTGGTAGAGCAAGCTTAAACAGTAAATCTTAGGAAAATAAAAAGAACGTGAACGAAAACTTTCACTTTTACCTGTGCGGACATCGATTGCCCGTATTTTTTGGAACTCACTTTGTTATATTGTAAGGACATTCTTTCCAACAATGTACATTTCGACTAGATATCAGACCTCGGTACAACCGAGTAGAACATTGCTAATTTTCAAAACACGTCTTTTCAATTTTTACAAAATTCTCGAAAACTATGATTTTTTTTTTTTTTTTTTTTTNTATTGCAACTTGCAATTTGAAAAACACATGCTTGGGTGAGCAGTAACTAGGCAATAGCCCGTTCCAGGTGTTCAGTTTAGTAATGAGGAGCCAACACAAACAACGATGGAAAAAGGTGGAGCTTTCAGAACTCATTATAGGTGTCAAATCATTCCCCTTTCCTCCACCCCACAAACCCAAGAGCCTGAAATGAAACAATTTAATCAAGCAAGTGATGACACATATATTCATATAAATATATCCACATATGCTAAATAAAAAATGTCAGATTTGATACCAAAGTGTTCACTTTTGACTGGTTTTGTTTGTTGACAGCCATCAAAAATGTACCAATGAAGGAAGTATTTCCCTGCAAGAAAGTCATAAGACAGTGAACAGAAATAGAAGATAAAATAGCAGTAAAAGCACAAAAGTACAAAATTGTGACACTTATGACAGTTTATGTTTCTCACAAGCTAAAACTATCACCAGGTTGATGACATCAACTTCATCTTGATAAGATATTTACCCAATTTGGAAACAATTTCACTGGTTTTAAGGTGGCACAAATCATTTACTGGAATTCTGGTTTTTGTTTCTCTACTACAGCTACCTCAGTAATTAAGATTAAGTTTTAGCATAAGCCTGTAACTTGTATATAGATTTTCCCCACAAGCAGAATTAGTTGTCATAGCAACATCAAAAAAGGAAACTACTGTATACTTCTATGGCAAACAACTTACTAACTCCTTTGTTAGTAGCAGTTTCTCCTCTTGGTATTTTTTTATTAAGTAGATCATTCTTTCGGATTTCTTTTAAACAAATCCGGAGCCATCTAAATCATTGACGAATTGGTTGTGAACCCAGCTGAAAAATGTTTAAATGTCTCGTTTTTCAGTTTAAAATATTTTGTAGCAGACTGTCTACACAGACTGATCATCACACCAATCATTAGGCATCAATCTGCCAATCAATCCATCAAATTTACTATAATGTGTAGTTCCAGAAAATATCCATACCTTGCCCAAGAAAGAGATTTTTTCTAAGACCCCAAGACCCCTCTGAAGATTTCAATTAAGCTCATGCATTACTTTAAATGTTTTGATCTTAGAGAACCCTCCACCACCCAGGACATTCCAATCCCTTCTGTGGGGGAATATGGATATTTTTTGGAACTGCTCATTTGCGTTCAGTATCTTTAGCTTAATGTTTCATGGATGGTGCCTTTAAATCACGCTACACTAAAATATCAAATTTCTTGTCATTTCTTACATCACTGTTTACTCATACCTGTATTGTATTAATTGCTATTTTGTTCTGCAGTGTTCTTGATTGCTTGTTGAGAGCAAAATAGGGATTGTAGAATGGATCATCTTGTATATGCAATAAGTGCACATTGTTAAAGCTTGAGTTAATGGTAGACCCTGAAAACAAGCGATAAATAATCATGTATTGTGAGTGTCCAGTATCATCAGTTCTCTACAATAATAATCCACAGTAACCATTCTATACAAATATGCTATAAGCCTGTGACCTTATTGGCTATACATAAGGTAACCATCAAATTATCTTCAGACTGTCATTTTAGAAATTGTACATTTTTTGTGTGAGAGTATTACAAGTTAAAATGGTCACAGTCATCAGTCTCTACTTAAATTTGTTAGGAAAGAAACTACAATACCAGCCAAAAGTCCTTGGAACACTTGACAAAATGCCAACCAGTGACAAAATCCGATAAACAATCAAGCAATTGCAGTTTTTAGTGGACAAAAATCTGGTAACAGAATAATTTTAAGCATTTTACAGTCCTTTTTATATTTTCTTAAAGCTAAAGATATAAATAATTGCCTGAAATAACACCAAAAACAATTTCCCATGGGAACGAGAGAAAATTAATTCCAAAGTTCAGAGAAACTGTGCAAACACAGGTAAAATTTCATCATCAGTTTCATTTCACCAGTACTTTTTCAAGTGTTTCATACGAAGTTCAACATTTGTTTTTGATGTTTGGTGTTGCTACAAATGATTCTTTTTTTGAGAAGATATTTAAAACAGTTATACAGAAGTTTGCAATGCGATGTAAATAATCTTGGTACTAGGTTTTTGTCCACTTGTTACTCAAACTTCTGATGGATTCCGTCTTAATTTATTTTGAAGTGGGAAGTCATAATTCAATTTTCTGGCCTCCCTCCCCCCAAAAGAAATGTGAGTCTACTTTGAATGAATCAACATCAACATTGTGTTGGGGTTGTGAAGGGGGGCATCGACAGAAAGACCATGTATTGGCAAAAGTGCAAAGTGTCCCGCGACCTTGGACCAGGATTGTAGGTTATAATTTAATGACTGCTGGACTTGACAAGTTCAGAGTTCTGGTTTCTTGCAGTTAGTGTCCCCAACAGTCAGGTGGCCATAACAATTTACCAGCTTTTGTACATATTTGTTTAACAGGCCTCAGAATGATTAAATTCCATACGTTTTACTGAAGCATTTTGAGATGCTGGAATGATCAAAATTGTGGCACAGCACTGCCACAACTCTTCACTAGCAAACCGTGTGGATTATTTTTGTTAGAATCACACTTTGATGTATACTTGCAGTGATTACAGGGTTGGTTCAGCATTCATCACTTTGAAAAAGTTGTTGGTATAACCATTTAACAATTCATTGAACATAAGCTTAATGTAAATTCAAATTATGAATTAAGCTTAAGCTGTTCCTTACACAATTGAACGTTTTCAAATTGATGAAGATGTTATCCTCTGTCTCGGGTAAATAAATAAGTTTAATTCAACTTGTTCGCACTTCTACAGAACCTTTATTTCAAGGAGCCATTTATCACGAACTCTTCGTTCAAAATTACTCTTCCATTGATGGTGAGTAAATGATTTCGGATGACATTATGTAACGTTCAAGGAACTGTGATAGCTAGGAAAAGAATATGCATGCCTTACCTTGTGGATATCTTCCAGAAACGACAAGCTCGTGATTTTCCAGAGGAATGAAACTCGCATCGGTCGGAAGATCTAAAAAATGACAAAGATCGAGTAGTATTGTCAACGAAAGCTGCCATACAAACTTGTAAAAGTTGACTGAATGACGTACTTCAAATGGCCGACCAACGAGTGAGTAGTAGTAGGCCAATTGGCCTTATTAAACTGAATTCTCTTTGTTGTTCTTCAAGTAATCGCTTAAATTAATTCAACAATATAAGTTTAATTTGATTTTGGATATTTTCTCAGCAATCGGTTGCTTAGCACTGTTAGGATAAAGACGAAACTTTAAGTTACTCATGGCAATCTTCGCCTCGTACCGTACAAGTCTACAAACTAAAGCTTACCTTGATAAAGGGTGGAATTCAGTTCCACAATAAAAAGTGCTACTACTGCTGTAGGGCAGATTAAGACCATAATCACCTTACACCATAAACACCTTTGTTTGAGGAAAAAAACCTACATTTCCTAGCCTAAAATTGGTCGTCCGAAACTTTAGATACGTTTTTCGGTCGAGTCGTGACAGTTTAGAGCTACACGTCAGCACGACACGAAGGCCGCAAAGCGCAAGAGTTTTCAAGACGTAAATGCCTGCATCAGTTGAGTACCAAACCTATCTTTACTGCTCAGAAGATATATTACGGTAACTCATGCCCTAAGAGTAATTAGCTTAATGCAGCAAACCTTCCTTGTTTTTACAATTAATCTGATTGGTGAAACAACTTTCATGCACGCGGGGGATTTCTACAAATTTCAAATCACGTAGTACCGGCCGTTGCACCTATTACGCCATTCACATGAGCGAGTAAACTTTTGGGTGTACAGGAGAATTGTCGTTGCAGCCCAGAAGGCATGGAAAATAAAAATTCTTTTTCCCAGGCTGAAACGCCTCCTCGAGCTCACTGATTTTCCAATTTGATAGAGCCAGGCTATTCAGTCTACGATTAACGTCAAAGGCGCTCTTTACAATGTAGAAGATTTGAGGGTCGAGGAGCTGGTTCGACACGCACTCTTCGCACTGCAGAGAATTGTGGCATCAAGTTAACAAAACGTTTGCGCCAAAAAATTTGCCAAAACTTTCATGACGTTCACAACTGTTATTTGGACTGTCACGCAATGCTCCATTGTGTGTTAGTAGCATTGCGTGACGACGTGAGAAACGAATTCCAGTCATTCTTGAAACTCCTTGCCCATTTTCTGCATAGTTGGTTATTGCTTCTCTGTTGTTTCTATTAACCTTAGTTGACTATCTTTAAGGTGTAAGAATTGACTTTAAGTTGATATTCCAGCCCCACATGTCATGACATGAAGACTTTCATCTTGGGGTAAAGATCGTCCCCAGCGTAATACACTGCTCATTCCGAATCGAAATTTGCAAATGTAACGCTAGTGTGTTCGAAGGGAAGAAAGCTGCTGGAAGAAAATTCCTGGTAAAAGTAGTTTCCCTTCACTGTACATCTGAAACAAAGTAACTATAATCTTGCAATACATCGACTATTAAACCAGTTTACACAACGGTTTCCACAAGTGTCAATGAATAACAAACAACACAACATCAATTGCCTGCATTGAGAGCAAATTTTAATCTTTCGTTCATTAAAATAGCAAGATTTTCATTCTGTTAGCAAGATTTGTCTACAAAATAATTTCGTATTGTATAAATTACGGGTGATTCTTTTACGAGTTTCGTGCTGAGGAGGTTGGTTTGGGGCTATCTATTTGGTCTGAGACCCATCAGATATAAAAATAAATTATCTATGTACAAGTAATTTGCTTTCATGAGTGCCTTCTCCAATGGTTCATAGACATCCTATATAAAAAGGTTTGATCACAGACTTATCAAATGACAGAGCATGGCAAGTACGTTAGCTGGGGTTTGCGCGATAATTACTGATCGGTACTTTGCCGCTGCTTAAGTTATGAATCATGGCAGCGATTTGAGCCTGGCGATCCAGTTCAGACTGTAGTTCCTTGACAGCTTCTTCTCGCTTCTTGATAACGTCTTCGTTCTGTCGACAGATGAGTTCCAACGACGACAGCTGCGAACGCGTCAAGAGAAAGTTAGAGATTAGTAAGAACATCCCTGTAAACTATTTTTTTTTTTTTTTTTTTTTTAGTTACAGATATATTTCCGAAGCATCATTTATGATTTTGTCATTTTTGAGCATGGCCAGCGATTCTAAATATTCTTATTCAGGGCTTTAACATCTCCACCAGGAATGATCGAACTGAGCCTCTAAAAGTTGAAGCCCTGCGTAGCGATGCTCAGTTTTAACATTATATATTCTGAGTACAACCGTGAAGTAGCATCACATCCCCTTGTAATATCCCGATTACTATTAAGTTCATACAACCCTTTAGCAGTCTGTGTATAATCCAATGCCTCTCCATTCTGCTAAATTATTGCTTTCGTGTTTGTTTGTTTTTTGTTTGTTTGTTAAATTATTTGTTTACTTTTCAATTTTCTTTGTTTTGGGGGTTTGTTTGTACATTTTTTCTGTATCAGAGAGCTGACAAGACCGAGCAAGACTGTTTAGCAATGGGTGAAAAGTGCTCGGATATTCCAGGGCAACGAGGTGAACAAGGAGGGGTTGGCGAAGACGGCGGGTATGCTGGGCATTCTGGTAAGTGTGAACGTGTAACAGGTGTAGGCCACAAGTGCTTCTTAGTAACGAAATTATCACGCTATAAAAATATCGCAATATCACAGAGACATAGTTGTTAGAGGGTTTTAATTTGTGAAATGAAATATTTACTCCTTCTGACATCAACACCTAATTACTTTTGAATTAAATTCTCAGAACTACGTTTACTCCAAAACAGGAAACGGTGGTAACGCTGGACGCCAAACAATAAACGTCAGAAAAGTGCAAGGAAAGCTGGATCTAAAAACATGTCCTGGTAGAGGGAGCCAGGAAGCTAAAAATGGCGTTGGAGGAGTTGGTAAGAATGCCTGCCTAAGACCACAAACTGAGTTCGGCGTACCCAGATGGGATAGCAAAACACAAACCGCAAACAATCAAGCCTACATTGTAGTCCCAGGCAGCATACTGAAACCATTTAAACAGTCTCAGACAACAACAGTTTTGATAATAATCAATCGAACAATTTGAATTATCACTCACTGCAATTTTTTTCATTTTCATTGGCCGAGAGTCAACTATGCAACCTGCGAATAACTGCTTACAAATAATGGTCGCGATTGTAACCAAGGTCTTGTGTGAAAAATGGCGATCGCTTCCATGAGCTGTTAGAGAGTGATTGAAATACGGAAACAAACTTGGTGATCAAATGATAAAACAATTATTGAACTGGGGTATCACAAAATATCGTGATTTGTCAGTGTGTCACAGATCAAGATCAATTGCCACTGACAGATCACGATACTGTGTACAATCTAGCCCAATAACTGTTTAAAATTGTTTGATTGATCAGTCACTCATCGATAATCAATCAATCATTCGATGATCAATATTAACCATCAATTGATAATCACAAAGCTTTACCCAAATATTATTGACTACAAAATGTGGCCGGAAGCTAATTAAAGGAATTGATTAAAGGCTTATAGTCAAACTTCTCCACATTATGATATAAGCCAAACAGAACCAGCTCTCGTTGTGGAATTCACCGAATAATATAATTTCGCGTATAACTGAACACAACCGTGAATAATTAGTGGGCGTTTTTTTAGAATCATGGTGGCTCCGCGTTTCCTCGCGCGACAAGAATAAGTAAAAAGCCCTCTGTGCGTATACGAAAACACTCGCTACCCCTAACTGTCTCATCAATAGCTCATTTTTACGTCCTATAAAGACTTGCTTGATGAGGAAACAAGAATTGCGTAATTACTGTCTACATAAGGCACTAAATCAACAAGAGCTATCCTTTGGTTGATTAATTGGCTGATTCCTGCGCTTGTCTGGAAATAATGCTGTTTTTGTTCGCTTGTTTGTTTGTTTGTTTGTTTGCTTGTTTTTGAAAAACTGAAATGAAGAGTTCGCGATATTTTTAGGCGGTGGGGGAGGACTCGGAGGTCGTGGTGCCAAATGCAAACGCCATGGAAAATGGTGTAAATTTCCCTGTTCTCGACGCTGTAAAATGAAAGGTCAAACAGCTCAAGCGGCCCGTGGCCCACCTGGAGAAAAAGGACATGACGGGCAAAGTTAAGTATTGCGGAAAAGTCCTTTATTCTTTTTTTCCTATCTGAGGCCCCGTTCACACAACACCCGGTGTTTTCACTCTGAAGCACCATCAATGTTTTCCGTCCACACTACGCCAGAGAAATTTGATAACGCCAAAATGACTGAGCAGTCATTTTGGATTTGCCTTGGAGGGAAACTTGAGCAAGCTAGAAATCACATGATTAAGGGGACATCATTGACTTCAAAAAGCTCCGTTTTCATGATGGATTAGTGTGGAGGCCTACTGGCTATAAAAATAAAGGTACATTTTCAAATTTATCCAGCGTATTGTAGACGGAGCCTTAATAATGAAAGTGACAATGCCTCCTCGTGTGGCTTGCGAGTTATTCCAGTTAGATTTGTTAGCCTCCTGTTATACTTGAATTTCACCAAGAGTAGACTACGGTTCCCACAATAGAGAACTGAAACACGCTATTTTTTTTGTTTTCGGCCTAACGTATTTTGTACCAGCATTAAACCAAAAATAACCACGAAAGACTAAAAAATGATTGCCATTCTCAAGAAGCCCCTCTTCTGCAACGTTCTCTTTTTGTTATTGTAATCAGCTCCGGTAACCCCTGGTTCAGACGGTCAAGTGGAAAGCTCTTATCTTCAGAAACGTGACCTTAGTCTCAGTGGAAAAGGGAAGTATCCATTAGCTTTAATAAAGCTGATGACCAGGTACGCTGAAGATCTTATTTGGTCGAACAAGATCACAAAAGCCGAAGCTGTGTTGAGGTTCATCGTTACCTTAACACAAGGAAGATCGGATGCATCTGAATTGAGAAAGGGTAAAATTTTTCTTACTTTTCTTTTTCCTTTCTTTTCTTTCTTTTTTTTTTTTTTCTTTTTGAGCGACTACTTTTGAACAAAAATGTACCGTCGCGATTAATAGCCAACAAAATGCAATAGAGAAATAGTCATTAGTAATCCGCTATTTTCCCTCTCTAACAATTGAACTGTCAGGATGAGGTTTGCTCTGTGCTGTTAAAGTAACTTATTGACTGACTAGAAGGTTTTTCTAGGACATGTAGACGGCTTCCTTTCGGTTTCTTTCGACTTTGACAGTTCACCAGTACATTTGCCTCTGGTTGTGAACTACCAGCCGTGGCTGGAGTTCAAGTTCCCTGGAGATAGTTACTAGGGCAAAGCTAATATTTGCCACTGGATTATGCCTCCAAAATGTAACTTGATATTGGTGTAATGATTTTGTTCTGAGTAATTAAGCAGCTGTCTTGAATGATCTTACTGTGTTTTGAAACATGTTGTTTCTTATATCCTGCTTGTGTTCACCTTAGTGGCAAAACGAAGACTAGCCTTTCTAAACAAAGACGGATTTGACCGATTTGGAAGGAATCAATTGTTCGCGCCGCTGATGAAATGGGAAGCTATCAAGAGTAAGGCGGTGGCAATTAGAAATAACGCTGAACCGTACGAAAAGGCGTACAATGAGATACGAGATTCCGTTCAAGGGCGGGATAATATAAAAGAAGTGTTCAAGGCGCTTCCAGTGGCAGCTAAGACTCAGGTTGATAAAGAGAAAGAAAGACTCACTGAGGCTAGACGAGTAGCAATAAGCCAGAAAGGAGTTTATGTTAAGGTACGTTTTCCGTAAAAACAAAAAACAAACGAAATAATATAGTGACAATGAATAATAAAATCTCACTAGGTGGTAAACACTTCATTTGATGCTTGGGCTTACAACAAGGGGATTGTGGGGAAGGGGGAATGGTGAGAATTTCAATAGCTTCCCATTCATCTCTTCGATCCGGAAGTTGACACGAATCTGTCTTTTCCGCTCCCACGAAACGATAAATATATATACTGTTCTTAGTAACTGATGTCGGGAATAATTATGGGGTACGTTTATACCGTAAATCCTTGAATTAGCGCCCCCTCGAATAAGCGCCCCCTTCAAATAAGCGCCCCTCCTATCAGGTAAAATTTTAAATAAGCGCCTTTCCTAAAATAAGCGCCCCCCTCACCTTCGACCATTTTGTGGACGAGTACTGAGCCAACAAAGGATGTATAGTTTTCGTCGTGTAGTATTAGATTTGTACATTGTTTCAGTTAAGTTTTAGAACGCCTTAAGTGAACACGTTGAACACGTTAAGTACTAACGATGCCGCGATTTAAACTTAAGGATCAGCTTTTTATGTCGATTAACAGCTTATGTTGTTGTTTAAGCGCAGATGATGCATTAAAAAAAAATTATCATGTCAGGCCACGATTTGGGAGGATTAAATAAGCGCCCCCAATCTTCTCCTAAATTTGAAATGAGCGCCCCGGGCACTAATTCGAGGATTTACAGTAGACAAGTTACTCCTGCTCCTAAATAATACCAAGATCAAGATTCAACTTCCTAGAGATGAACAACCCAAGAGCATGGTTGGAATGAAGGTCTCTGATGAAGTCTGCTATTGTCAGACGAAACGCGTAGGAGATTAAAACCAATTTTTACTATTACAGTTCGTGCTGTGCTGCTCACTAGTTTAGCTTTAAAAAAAAAATTCAAAGGGTCAATCGATGAATCAATCAATCAATCAGAATGACTAGAGTCATTGTCTAACACTGGGAATTATTGTAGCCTACTTAGAGTGCAGTCATTCTGAAAGTCACATAAACGTTTCCTTATTTACCATGATTGTATTGACTACATTATATCATTTTACTTGTTTGTCTGCTAATTCTCCATTATGTTTTACTGCCTTAACAATCACCAGAGCATCAAGGAGTTTGAATCAAGTATGGCCAGTTCTCTGAAAGCAATAGCCGCCCAGCTTCCTGATGTATACAAAAAGTCGCAGTTCAACAAACAGGACCTCGTTGTTATACTTCAAGGAGTTACTGGATTCGTTGGTGGCGTGGTAGGAAAGGATCCATTTTCGACTCTTAGTGCCGCTATAGGAGTTGCCGGTCATTTTGCGACAAAGTGTAATACAGGATCTCTTCACGAAAACCTGAACAAAACAGAGAAGTGGTTAGCATTTGGCAAGGAATACGCCGCTCTTAAAGATTCTAGTGATCTGGATTTTGACAAGATGGACATAGGATCTGTACCAGAGGTTATGAAGGTAGTAGAGCGCTTGTGTTATATATTTTGGCAAACGTGTTATGAAGATTTTCATAATTTTGGGCGCGAGAATAGTTTATTTGGATGACGTGAACTCTAAGGATCTATCTAAACTTATTTTTGTTCATTTAATTTTTAGCTGAGTGAGTACAAATAAAGTTGTTGTTGCTGTATCTATCTTTATGTTATCCCTCTAATCTCTATATAACGTCAGGGCTCTGTTGTTCATGATATTTGAGAATTAAAAGACGAAGCTTTTTTTGTTCTTGATCCAAAGGCCAACCTGGAAATGAACCAGGGAGGACTAGCAGCGGACCTGGTTTGCATGTTGGACGAGAGATCACTGCCTCGAAACAAGGCAAAGTTCGAGGCAGAGATTGGGGGTTTCTTTATTGCTGGTGCAGCAAGAATTGATCTCATTGGCAAAGTTATTGACTTAGACAATTTCATTGGTGGAAACAATTTTGATATCCTTAACTTGGAAGAAACATCAAATGCAATAGGAAGCCTCAGTGAATCTGGTGGTAAGCATTCCTGCTTGATTGTACAATGAAGCAATGTCTTCCGTAAACATAAAACCCCAATCCAACAACAATGTTACACATTGAACCAAACTGGAAGTAAAAAGCCATGCACTAATCGGAAGAGCGTTACTGGGAACTACAAATAACCATACCACAATAAATTTACTTTTAGACAATATATAAATCAGAACAAAAAATGGGTAAGTTCAGTTGTTATTGTTTTTTTTGTTGTTGTTGTTGTTGTTGTTTTTTCTCAGTTTTGGGAAAAAATAAATTATTGGTAACTTTTGAAATTAGGTTTAAGGTTAAAACCGTACAGCGTGCAATTTGAGAGGCAGCAAGGTCCCCCATGTTGTCCTTTTCTCCATTTGACAGAACATTGGTAAGCGAGCAGGAACTAAGGGATTTGACAATCCATTTAATCCACACATGACGAGTATATACCAAACATCAATTGGTAGCGGAAATACTTGAATGAATTCAGTCATGATCAACAATGATTTAGATAAACATATACAGGCAAAAACTAACGATAGACAAATCCGACGT